TATGTTATGCAGTAAAATAAACTAAACAACATTTTTTGTCTGAGCATTACATCCACATTCCTTACCTAATTTGAAATAAAAATAAATATTAATACAAAAAATAAAATAAAAAATTAAAGAATTAAAATTAGTGCGTGCGCAAACCCCTTTTCGACACTGACATCTTTGGCGATTTTTTTTTTTTTTTTACATACCCAAATGTCATGCAACTTTACATATGTGTACTTCACATAATATTAAACTCATGCGAAAAGTTTCAAAAAATAATAAAATATTTTAGGCATAAAAATTCAGGCAACACTTATTTTCACGAAAGTGAATTTCAAAATTTTATACAAAGCCAAGTATGAAAAACAAACTTAACCCAGAAAATAAAGAAATTGAACCAACTCTTATGGCTATGACACATAGCGAACACCTAAAGCAACTACCTCTCAAAACTGATACTAAGACTAAGTAGAGTTCACACTCAATCACAAATAAGTTCATATCACAATGGGCAAACACTCTCACAAAAATCCCCAGTTGTTTCCTCATAAAATAGTTTATTGATTCTCCAAATGATTATCTCTTATACCCATCTTACATATGGCATTGCGCTGGACCATTTATCTTAGAAACATTGCCTAGCATGCCTTATATTATACGCGAACAGGTTGCACACCTACTTCTCTCTTCTTTGGAGACTAGATCATTCAACTTATAAATAATACCTCGTCGTCTTAAACTGTTTAAGTATCGAAGATTTAGTAACTCTCTGACTTGTCTTCAAAAATATAGGCAGGGGACTAAGTCGTTCGGCTTAGAAACAATGTTCAACTTGCCCAATTTACTTCCAATTATACCCTTCACTTCCTCTCTTTTCTTTGTGATATGACTTAAGTTGAACCATTTATCTTGGAAATAATGCCCAGTTGCCTGTTCGCATGCAAATATAGGTGAAGTATTTTCATTTATACTCATTTGTGTTTGGTGTGTGGTTTTATGCTAAACCATTCAAATTGGAAACAATGCTTAGCCCTTCGCCAAAATTCTTTCTCAGAATAAAACAAGAGACTGAACCATTCGGCTTGGAAACAACGTCTAGTTTATCCCAAGTCACACAGAAGCATGAAATTGGATCATTCGACTTGAAAACAATGCCTAACTTTAGTCAGGATCCCCAAATAAAACAGGAAGACCAAGCCGTTCATCTTAGAAACAATGCTTGATCTCGAAAACCAGTCAGACAAGCGCTAAGGAATAAACACAACAACCATGTCATTCAGCTTAAAGCCTATGCCTCATCCTTTAGAAAATAAGCAATAAATATAGTACTGGTCATTCAACTTCAAAACAATGTTTAACCTTTGAGACCCAGTCACACGCATGCAAAAATGTCTTCCTCCCACCTTCCCTCAATTTTTTCCTTAGTCTGATTTAAGTAAAATTAAGATAAACTGAAATTTATGTATGCCTTCCTTTCAATTAATTTGATAAAGTTATAAGAAGAAACAAAATTATAGGAGAACGTATGCATGTCTCTCAGACAGACAAGAAAGATGTAATCGATAGGAATATGGTGAGTTTACACATGCAGAAGAAGATATATCTAACAATTCTCTGCCTTCAGAATCTCACCTAGATTCTGCAGAGCTCTCGCAATCGGTGGGGTGAACCTCCCACAAAGGTTTTGACACGGATTATGGGTTTCAAGCTCGTCTGCCTATCTGAACCAATAAACTAGACTGAGAGTAAGAAAGGCAGAAAGAGTATCATCAAGCCTCTCATATACAAGAGAGATGCACCCAAACTCGCGTGAGGGGGCCTTGAAACCTTCAGCCGCCCGAAGGTTCTGCAATGATGATCAAGATTTCTAGTGCACTGATAAAACCGCGCGTAAGTCGAAAAGAGATGACGTCCTGAAGGTTCCCCAAATTGTGGCAGCAACCCTCTTTTCGCAGCTTAATCACTTCCCTAAAGTCGCAACGTCTCCTCTCTAACTAGGTTGTTGTTATGCAACCTAAAATGATTGTGCTTAAATGACGACAATTGTGAACGCACAGCAGCAGGATGTGCAACAGTATGGGTTGTGAACGACTGCTATATGCCCTCTTTAAATTCCTCCCTCAAATACACACTTTTCGCACTACCGCTTCTCTCTTGCAGAGGGCTAGTAAATCCAACAACTAAGCACTGAATCCCACTGGCTGGCAGAAACTGTTCCTTTTCCACCAAGATACCTTGCGATATCCCACAATGACGGTTAAACAAATGACATCTACAGTGACATTTAAGTTGTGTTTTGCACTGCCATGAGCTGCAATCATTTTTTGTGTGGGATGAAGTTGGGAGTAGGGGGGCACCGCTTCAATTGGAAACCTTACAGTAACCCGAGTAACCAGAGTACTTAATTACAAAATAGAAAAAACACTTAAAAAAATAAAGATTGCACTTATGTCTCATATCTGATTCCTTCTTGGGTATCAGACCGATGCGCTTTCCTTTTGGTTTTACAAGCAAAACGAATAGGAGGTGGGATCTCGTTTGAGCCTTCCATGGGTTTTACTACACTTATGTCTCATATCTGCTGACTTCGTGGGTGACAAACCCATGAGTTTTCCTTTCCTATGAGTACCCTGACCAAGGTCTTACCTACTTCAACTCCTAACCCAACCCGAACGACATGTTACTAACATAGCTTACTTTCATCGTATGGCTCACATATTTACGTGACTCCACAACCGGCACCAGTTCTTCATAAAGTCGATTCCTGACAGGGAAAACATCCAACCCATCTGCGCTTGCACCACAGTTTGTTATCTGGTTCATATTGAGCGAGCAAGGTTATCGATCCCGTAACCCGCAATAGTTTGCCGCAGGGGTATTCCTGACAAGGAAAACCTCCGACCCATCTCCGCTTGCATACCAATTAGTTATTAGTGATGGATTGTGTTATCATGAGGGTATTCCCCAACCCCTACTAGTGTCATACTGAGTTCGATCCCATAAGCCACACCAGGTCGCCACAGGGTCAGTTCTTGTCAGGGACAACCTCCAACCCATCCTCCCCTGCACCCTAGTTGGTTATCAACGAGTTATGTGTTATTATGATGACATTATCTACCCCTACTAGTGTCATATCGAGGAGGCAGGGGTTGTTGATCCCGTAACCCACACCAATTCGCCACAAGGCTGATTCCTATCAGGGAGAACCTCCAGCCCATTTCCCCTACACCCCAGTTGGATTGTGCGTTATTCACAACCCGTCAACATTTGTGTCAAGGTGTCAGATTTTTTTGTGGCGGGCAACCAGGATGAAATTGGGTTCTTAGGGGGTGAAGGTTTTTTGGGGACCGGTCATTGGTGACATTGTGGACGACCTACAACTAGCTTTCGTAGAACCGAGACTTTTGGAAAAACAAACAACCTGTCGTCAAATGGAAGTGAACGCCAAAAAAAAGTAAGAAGCGGAGGCGTTGTCTATTGTCCCACACACAAGCTATCCAAGGCGGAGGGTACCAGTGGGTCCAGCCCCGCAATTTGCAAGAGGCAACTTTGACAATTTTTTGTGCTTGAAGAAATTCTCAGAAGAATTTAAAAACTTGAAAATCGATTGATTAGGTCTTCCCCCGAACAAAAAGCACGTATGTACTATTCAGCTTTCCCTGGAAAAGTCCATCTCTCAAAGTTGGCCCCTGAAATCCAAATAGTACGCACTTTGAAATAGTCCGCACGTATGGTCTATTTGAATAGTGCGCACATATGTTCTATTCGAACAGACCAGTGTTCGATTCAAATAGAACACATGGGTGTTGGCTCTCTCTCTCTCTCTCTCTCTCTCTCTCTCTCTCTCTCTCTCTCTCTCTCTCTCACACACACACACACACACACACACACACACACACACACACACACACACACACACACACACACACACACACACCAACCCCCCCTATCGCTCCCGCCTACTCGCTCCCGCCTGCTCACTCCCTCCCGATTGCTCCCGCCTGGTTTCTTGACAGGCTGTTGTGTTTTTTTCTTTTTTATTTTCTTTTTTCTTTTTACATGTGGACTATTTCTCGATTTATGCCTATCACCCTTGCTCAGAGGCCATGCTAATCCCGAAGGATAAGTACGGATTCAGGGTACTAATTTTTTTGGGGCCCATTTTCCGAAAGTTGGTACCCTGTATCCGTAGCATACCATCGGGGTGGGGCTATGGGATGTGGCTCTAAGAAAAAAGGTATTGAGTGCACTAGGACTTTTTCTATTAAGCTCTGGACCTGACCGCTGTTAGATTCATTCAAGTCCGGCCGTAATTGTGGTCAGATCCATTTAGAAAGGTCCTAATGTGAGTATGCCCTAAGGCATTCCCTACGGTCTCAGACTCTAGGACGTCTGGTCAGGTCACCCCGCCAAGATGGCAATGGGTGATGGTCCTGGGTGGTTAACACTAGGGTAGGACAGGGGGGGTGGGGGTGCGCCAGGGCAAGAAGATAAGAGGAAGGGTGGGTGGGTTCTTCAGAGGGGTTCATCTGGACAACCGAGTGGCCAAGTACTGTGAATGACTGCCATCCGTCTAGTATCCCACCTCTACAACAACCTGGGAAAAAGGAAAAGGAAAAAAAGGAAAAAAAGGGAAAAAAGGACGCGATAACCCACTGGACTGGATTGTGCTATTGGCCTTCAGCAGCTGGAGGACGGGCAAGCAGGAACTTCCTGAAGGGGGGTTAGGCATTGGCAGGAAGGCAGAAGGTCTCTGGCTTATGCTATTCGCCTTCAGAAGCTGGAGGAGGACGGGAGGAAGGGAGGGCGGCAAACAGTCTCTCTCTTTGCCAATGAATGAAAAAGTATGGATGGATGCTCGAGTCGCCCTGAGCCATCGCCCCGAGCCATCTTCCGCAACAAATTGGACACCTTGCAGCATTTTTATTTTCCAGTGTCCGTTTCCACCCCCTGCCCATGGTGACCATACTTCACGTGATGGGAAATGACTTCGCCGCGTACAAGAGGCGTAACGTAACCCTTCTGTTTTCTCGTGGAGAAGTGAACTCCCATAGCCACAAGTGAGCACCGTAGCCCGGCGAAAAGCTGTAAGCAGGTACGAAGTACAATAGCCCGAGGAAAAGCTGCAAGTGCTAAGCGCCATAGCCCGGCGAAAAGCTATACGAAGGTACTACGATAGCCCGGCCAAAAACTATAAGTACGCACTATAGGTACCATACGCCGGCAAAAAGCTATAAGTACGTTCCAAGTACCATAGCCCGGCGAAAAGCTGTGAGTAACAACCTTGCATAAGAGGGCGAAGGCCAGAAGAAGCGTGCTCGAATGCGGGAAAGGCTATAGGTGCTAAGTATAGCCCGGCGAAAAGCTATAAGTAAGTTCTAAGTACCATAGCCCGGCGAAAATCTGTTAAGTAACAACCCTGCAGAGGAGGGCGAAGGCTATAAGAAGCGCGCTAGCGCACGAAGGCCTGGGACGTTCATGTCGTGGGGTTGACAGGGTTGGTTGCTGCCAGCCCACATGAACATCGTGGGAAATGCCGCTCGCTTAGAGTTCCAGGGTTGCTGGCTATGATAATAATAATAATAATAATAATAATAATAAAATAAATAAATAATAATAATAAAATAATAAAAATAAAAATAAAAATAAAAATAAAAATAATAATCGACGGCGTAGATTTGCAAGTAAGGGCATGGCATCTGGCGAAGCTGTCTCTGTAGGCGGTCTTATCACGCCATGGCAGAGGGATATGAGTGCAAGACGCTGATATCTATATATATTATTATTTATTTTTTAAAGGTGATTTTTGCTGTTTGTTACTTAATGTTGGAATCGGGGCAAAGGATCCGCCAATTTTCACATCAGCAAGAGTGTGGTGCAAAATGACGAGTGTATACGTTAAAATCGGAATTTGAGTTTTGAATCTTTTGATTGAAATTCTTAACCGTAAATTAAGTCCGCCAATTTTCACAGCTGGGGAGGAGGTTGCAGGGAAGCCCTCTGTCACCGACGTTGGGACAGAGTCGAGGGAACGATGGACACTAATTAATCATAGATTCCTCAACTGCCGAGACGGTAAATAATTAGGCAATCATTAGAGATTGACGGGAGGGGCGGTATACAAAAGTGAGGAGCACACACGCGCACACACACACGCACGTGTCAGATTAGTTTCTCAGACTTACTACCGTTCTTGTCCGGGGTTTGGACCGGCAGTCTGCTAGAACACGTGTGTGTGTGTGTGTGTGTGTGTGTGTGTGTGTGTGTGTGTGTGTGCGCGCGTGTGTGCGTGTGTGTGTGCTCCTCCCTAGCACAGTCTGCTGCTAGGATTGCAAGGCTGGTGTGCGTAAAGTCGACCACTTTTCTCAGGGGTATCGTAAACTCTGGGCGATGTGGTGAGTCCTTATCCATTAGTCAAATGCATCCTGGGCAGACTGTTGGGGTTCAACCTCCTGATGAGTCGGTGGAAGTCCGACGAAACAGTCTGGCGCAGTCGTGCTTTTTTTGAGTGTTTAGCGAACATGACAACACACACACACACACACACACACACACACACACACACACACAGAGAGAGAGAGAGAGAGAGAGAGAGAGAGAGAGAGAGAGAG